ACAAATGTGCAGAATAATATATGTTGCCTAGAAATCCATGAGTCTTCAGTAAAAGTATAAACACTTGCATGAGAATTGTAAATGTCCAATTCAGGTTGGTAGTTACCTCTGAGGAGGCAGGTAGGAAATAGAATTGAGGAGGGTTTCAACTCTGTTGTATGACAAAACATGGTTAGGCTTTGATGGAGGTAAACCGCTGCGAGGTGTTTGTGTGGGAACTCCTTATGTTCTGTATGCTGTTAAGCTGGCCTCATAACCTGCTGGCTGGTTGTGACCTTGGACAGGCCACATAAGCTTTCTATCCCTCAGTTTCTCCGTCTTTATAGTGGGGATAATCATATCTGCCTGTTGGGTTGTGAAGAGGGAAGGAATTAACATGTGAAGAGTTTAGGATAATGCTGAAACTCTGTTTGCTACTACTGTTATGTCTTCTTGTTTGCAGTGTCTCATTCTGAGAAAGGAACAGGGATCTGGAGCACATCTGAAGGCTGTTGAGAGGGGTGGAAGCTGAGCAGTGGGCACACAGTGGGGGGGTCACCGTGTTGTCCCTTCACCTTCCGGTGTGTTTCACACCTTTGGTAAACGTACCCAACCCAGGGCCCCACTGCGCCCAGGGTGGCCTCCCTGTGGGTTGTGCCCTGTTGGTGGCCTCACTGTCCGGACGGTGCCTACCACAGGGTGGGTCTTGACTGCTCGGAGGGAGGGATCAGAGCTGTGCTCTCAGGTTCCTTTTCAGTTTGGAGGGCACGTTTCGTTAACCCTCTGTAGGAAGAAATCAGCACGACTGGTTTGTTCATATGTTTAGTGTAGAATTGTCTTCTGAAATCATTTCATTTTCCTCATTGACTTTTCTTGGGAAGGAGAAGTCATAACAAAGCCTTCAAGGGACAGACCTCTTCAGAGTCCCTTCTCTTCTCTGGTCGCCCGTCCTCCTCTGTGCAGGGGGGCTGGACTGGAGGTTTCCAGGACTCTGTGCTCTGGTATCCAGGATCTTGAGGGGAGGCCCCACATGGCAGTGTTCCTACTCACTGGTGACAGGCCTCTTGCTGCCTTCAGGTCTTGTGTGTGTTGTTCTCTTTGCCGGGAACTTTCTGTCTATCCCACTCTCCGTTGTCGTTTCTTAGGTCTCAGTTTAAGTAATTTTTCCTCGAGGAACTGTCCTTATTCCGTAGGACTGGGTTTGTGTACTCTGGTGGGATGTTATTGTAGGAATTTTCATAGAACATTATAAATGCCAGCTCATTTTCTACTTTTATAAGTAAACTGTAAGGTCCTTAAGAATTTGGACGATAGTGTGCTTGTCTTCGCCTGTACAGTACCCATCGTCATGCCCATCACAAAGTGGTACCCATCAAATGTTTGTGAAACTTTGCTGAAAAATTTTAGGATATAAACAGTTACGTTTTATATAATTAAAATATTGTGGGGCAGACACGGGAATGAAGACTGAATAGAAAACAAAAAACAACCCAACATATAATAATTGAATGTGTATTAAAGATGATATTCTCAAACCAGTGGGGAAAAGGATAGGCTATGTAATAAAAGGCACTGGAACAATTGATTATTTTTTTTAAAAAGTTTGCTACTCAATAGTATATAGCAAAATAAAATAAATTCTAGGTGATTGAAAGCTTAAGGGTAAAAAATGAAACCACAAAGTATGAAACAAGGACATAGTTGAATATTTATGCGGTTTCAGTGGATATTGTGGCCTGAATCTTTGTGTCCTCCCCTAATTCACGTTGGAGTCCTAACCAGAGTGCTGGTGTTAAGAGGTAGGGCCTTTGGGCGGTGCTTAGCTCACGAGAGTGGAGCCCTCATGGATGGGATTACTGCCCTTATAGAAGAGACCCCAGAGAGCTCTCTCACCCATTCTGCCTTGTGAGGACACAGCGAGAAGATGCCTGTCTGCAAACCAGGAACTGAGTCCGCACCACACACCAAATCTACCAGTGCTTTGCCCTTAGACTTCCCAGCTTCCAGAACTGTGAGAAATAAATTTCTGTTGTTTATAAGCCGCCTAGTCCATCGTATTTCTGTTAACAGCAGCCTACATGGACTAAGACAGTAGGGGTGGGCCTTTCCAAGTACCGTCATGCGTCGCTTAATGACAGGAATATGTTCCGAGAAAGGCGTCGTTAGGTGATTTTGTGGTTGTGTGACTATCATAGAGTGTACTTACACAAACATAGATGGTACAGCCTCCTACACACCTGGGCTATATGGGACTAATCTCATGGGACCACAGTCGTATATGTGGTCTGTCGTTGACCGAAACGTTGTCATGCGGCGCATGGCTGTGTAGTCCTCAAAGCAGAAACCTCTGTAAAGGATAAAAGTGTGCTTGACTTAACAACATAAACCTGTAAGCCTCCCATATACCAGGAAAACAGATTTGCCACCTGTACTGGTTTTCTATTGCTGCCGTAACAAATTGCCACAAACCTATTGGCTTTAGGGCTTTCCCGAGGTTCTAGGGAGAAATCATTTCCTTATACTCTCTAGCTTCTAGAGGCCACCTACATTCCTTGGCTCCTGGCCCCCTTTCTTCATCTTCCAAGCCAGCAGTGTCGCATGGCTCTGTCCATTCTTGCATGGTCACGGCTCTCTCTGACCACAGCTGGAAAGTTTTCCGCTTTTGAGGGCTTGTGATTAGATTGGGCCCACCTGGATAATTCAGGCTTGTCTCCTTAGGTTTCTGTCCTTAATCACATCTGCAGAATCCCCTTTGTCATGTGAGGTGACATATTCACACGTTCTGGGATTAGGAGGTGACATCTTTGGGAGTTCATTATTCTGCCGACCACACTGCCTGAATGACTAAGGAGTCCTCTGTTTACAAAGAGGTTTTTACAAATCAGGAAAAAAATGGCGAACACTCATTTTGAAAAATGGACAAAGGGTCTGAACAGGCAGTTCACGAAAAGAAGTAGCACAAATGAATGAAAGTGTTTAAAAATTGTGCAGCCTCACTAATAATCGAGGAGACCCACAACCAACCTGGAGAGCCCTTTTCTCCCATCTGATTAGCAGGGACGTGGGTCTGTCCACACTGCTGCTGGGATTGTGAGTGTACCGCCTTTGCCAGTCCGTACCAATGGCTTTTAGAAGTGCCTGCTCCGGGGGGCCAGCCCAGTGGCATAGTGGTTAAGTTCTTGTGCTCCGCTGCGGCAGCCCTGGGTTCGCAGGTTCAGATCCCAGGTGCGGACATATGCACCACTTATCAAGCCATGCTGTGGCAGGTGTCCTGCATATAAAGTAGAGGAAGATGGGCGCATATGTTAGCTCAGGGCCAATCTTCCTCAGCAAAAATAGGAGGATTGGCAACACATGTTAGCTCAGGGCTAATCTTCCTCTCACACACACACGTAAAATTGCGCACTCCGTATCCCTGGCACTTCATTTCTGAGAGTGTCTCCTCAAGAAGTTCTCCTATTTGTGTGTGAGTATTTGTCCCCAGAGATGTTTATTGCTATTTTTATACACAAACAATTTTAAACAAGTTAAATGTCTCACAGTCAACATTGGTTTAACAAATTATGGTGTAGCCATATGGTGGGACATGTGAAATTAGAGGTGATACTGCCCAGGGAGATGGCACAGGAAGTGATGAGTTAACTGGTACTCATCATATTTAAAAACTTTCTAAATTTTGAAATAAGTATAGATGTACAAGGAGTTGCTGAGAAATGTGTAGTGAAATTGCCTGTGCCCATCTCATTATTATGGTTTTAAATTTACACATGCTGCCTGTTTGTTGTATGTATCAAACAATATATATAAAGTAAATAAATGCATTTAAGTAAATTGAAGAAGGATAGTGATGTGGGGAAATAGTCACGATACATCACTAAGTAAAAAAGGTAGTTTTCTGTTTAAAAAAGTGAAAACGTTCATCTGTATACTCAGCAGTTCTGTATCTATATTTATCTTTACGTAAACACTCCCCACAAGGAGCTGCGTCACAGTGTTCCAGTGGCTGTCTCTTCTGGGTGGACGGCATCACTTAGGATGTCTGACTGCTAATGGCTTCAACACACAGGGATTTGTTTATTTCATGTAAATGGAAGTCTGAGGGAGGTGGTCCAAGGCTGGACAGGCGGCTCGACAAAGCCATCAGAGACCTGTGCTCTTTCCCAGCTTCCTGCCCTGTCATCTGTCGTGAGTGGCTTTATTTCTCATGGCGGCAGAATGGCTGAGGGACCTCTAGACCTCACATCTGTGTTCCAGGCAGGAAGAAGGGGGAAAGCTAAGGGCCAAAGCCATGCTAGCTAAGCTTGTCTCCTTCTGTTGGGCAAGGAAGAGCCTGCATTTATTTCTGACTGGCCTGCCCTGGGTCACACACAGCCACCCGTGGCTGGAAGCCAGCAGAGGGGGAAGCGGTGTGGATGGGACTGTTCAGCTGCGCAGCGTGGGTGTCTGCCATGCAGGTTATTTTGTTTCCAGCCAATTTCCAAATTTACTCTGATGAACACAGACTTTTATAATGAAACCATTAAGTCTTTTTAAAAAATTATGTTCATCTTCTTTGTAATTCTGCATTCCATCTTTAGACAAAATGGTACCAGATGAGAATTTCCAGACAGGCATTTCATTGTCAGTTTTTAGTCCTGCCTGTGACATGTGGCCAAGAGCAGAGGCTTCGGGGAACTTCACTGGTGCTGAGTAGCGCCCAGCTCCCAGCAGCCTTGTCACTACTCCATGCCTGAGGCTCTGTGGTGACGCCCTTTGGGCTGTGGCTCCCTGCACAGAGGCCCATTCGCAGGGAGGACTGAATGCCCTGCTTGTTTGTGGGATGTGGGCTTGTATGGCTCCATTCATCCCTTCCAGACAGGGTCCTCGGGACTCTGGAGTGGCCGGAGACGCCCTGTGGCCACTGATGGAGAATTGCCTCCCTCAGTCTTGTGGGTTATGAGGAGCTGGGCTCTTTCCTGAGTCAGTGGGCTCTTGGGAAAGCTGAAGAGAAGCTAATTTGTTTTCCCTTTCTTTTTAAATAGCATCCAGCATGTGTATGGCGCCCAGCACCCCCCATTTGATCCACTGTTACATGGCACGTAAGTGAAGCCTCACTCTCACAAGACTGTCTCACGCACGGTTTGGGGGGGCTGTGGTGACCCTCCAGCTCCCTGAATTCCTGAGGGGGAGGAAAGTGGGCTTCCATTCAGCAAACACTATTAAGCCATTGCTGTGTGGGACACTGCTGGCCTTGCATGGTTCATCATCTGCGGAGAAGGCAGACGTGGCAGCCACAGCCAGAAGCAGGGGAAGCCGGTGAGAGCACGTAGCTGAACCCCCTTAGCTGGAGGGCAAGGCCTGGCTGCGGGCCTGTTAATGGTGGCTGACATTTCCCTTGCTCTCCACTGCACTCTCCGCCCAGCTGCCTGAGGCTTGCTCTGCTCGTGTCCGTGTCCAGGCTCCTCCTGCAGAAGCAAGCCAGAGGGAGGTGTGGCCCTGCAGGACCGTACCTGTCGGATAGGTTACCGGCCACACAGTGGGGCCAGTGTTATATGTTGTCATGCTGTGGGGGATCTTGTTTAAATTATACTGTATCCAAATCCATATACCAAAGGCCTGTGTTCTGTGAACAGCCTCTCCCCTCCCACCCCCCCGACTGCTGCCGTAGGAGGTTTGTGAAGATGTGGGGCGTGAGAATGTGTTTGTAGGCGCTGGCCAAAATGAGGTCTGGGGATTCAGTCTGAGTACCATTGCTGGGTGGTGCCGTGTGTCCTCATAAATTGGTTCTGTCAGAGGGCAGCTCCCAGCATGACTCTCCCTGGAAATTCTCCCCTCCTCTCCTGTCACTCTATCCTCATGAGCTCTGCCCAGTCTTATTTTGGGTGTCTCTGAATGGTGTTTGCTTCTTCACTTCGCATTCAGCTTCACTGAAGTTGAAAGCTTGTGTGTGTCCCTTTTCATCTGGGGGCTCCTTTCTGACTGATTTTGGGTGGATGCTCTCAAGCGTCCAGGGGGACAGGTGAAGACTGCCTTTGCTTTGCAGCTTGCTCAAGACCACGCCCAAGGTGCCGACCACACCCGTGAAGGCCAAGAGAATTAGCACCTTCCAAGAGTTTGAGAGCAACACCAGCGATGCCTGGGATGCTGGCGAAGACGACGACGAGCTCCTGGCCATGGCGGCGGAGAGCCTGAACACCGAGGTGGTCATGGAGACGGCCAACCGGGTCCTGCGCAACCACAGCCAGCGGCAGGAGCGACACAAGCTGCAGGAGGCCCCAGGGCCTGAACAGAAGCCGAAGCCTGTGGCAGAGCCTCCTTCCATCCCAAGTGGCGACCTCCGGCTGGTGAAGTCTGTCAGCGAGAGCCACACGTCCTGTCCGGCAGGTGGGCTGGGGAGGACTGAGAGATGGTGTGCGTTTCTGCAGAAGGAAAGGGGCTGGAGTCATTTCCCTGTGGAAGAGTAAGAGGGGTCGCGTTCTCATTTGTGACAGGAATCCCTGCCCCCTTGAAAGCTCTTAGGGTTATCATCCAAGTGGCCTGCACTTTTCTCTTTGTCCTCCTAGTTGAGTGCTTCTTCTCCAAATGGAGTGGCAGGGCATGTGGTTGTGAGAGGGCCACAGGTGAGGACTAGGGCTCGGGGGACCCCCCCTTCTCCTAAGTACACCCTGGTTGCTTCAAGGGTGATGTTTACAGCTGAGGGGCCAGGCCAGCTGCTCGTTCGGGGCAGCTTACGGGGATGCCCTCCAGGGACACATACCCCTGGCTCAGGGTCTGCAGGGGCTGGGTGTCCGATTTTTGGAATTGCCGTGTTCAGATTCTAAACTCCTCAGGGTGGGGTCATGTCACGTCTCGTATCCACGTGCCTGGCCCTCAGTGCCGTTCTTGAGACTGCTTCCACTTTGCCCTCTTTGTGTTGGAGGGTCTGTGATGTAAAATAGCACAGTTATTTCATGAGCATCTGTGGTGGGCCAGGCACTGTTCTCAGGGCTTGGCCTGCCCCGGTGGACAAACCAGATGGAAGTCCTTGCCCTGTAGAGTGTCCATTCTGGTGAGGGGGATGGATGCTAACCTACACATGATGGGTATGGTGGCAGGGAGTGTGCTAGAAGGTGGCTAGTGCCACGGGTCAAAATAGAGGTGGGTGGTGGGCATGAGAGCAGGGGGGGGCATGGGGTGTAATCTTAAATGGATCGGTCAGGGCTGCCTCCCTGAGAACGTGACGCATGAGTTAACAGCATGAACGAGGTGAGGGGGTGAGGTGTGGGGACTCTGGGGCAAAGGGGCCAGCAGGTGCAGCCTTAGACTCTCTAATACCTGTCCTAAGGTCTCCTGGGGGTTAGGGTGCTTGCCCCTCATTTACAGATGAGAACAGGAGACTGTCATCACAGCCTAAGCTTCCCCTGCTGGGAGTCACAGAATTAGGTTTCGTACCTAGGTCTCGTTTTCAAAAACACTTCCAAGGAATTGATTAACTTCTAAAATGTTACAACTCTTTTTAGGTGAGAATGCTATGAATTATTTGATCACTTTTCATATTGGAATGTAAACTATTTTTCTATAAAGTAGGGTGAACTTTAAAATATTAGAGCTTAGGGCCGGCCCCATGGCTTAGCGGTTAAGTGCACGTGCTCCGCTGCTGGCGGCCCGGGTTCAGATCCCGGGCGCGCACCGACACACCGCTTCTCCGGCCATGCTGAGGCCACGTCCCACATACAGCAACTAGAAGGATGTGCAGCTATGACATGCAACTATCTACTGGGGCTTTGGGGGAAAATAAATAAATAAAATTATTAAAAAAAAAAAATATTAGAGCTTAAAAATGGAAGGAAATCCAATTAGGGCTTTTGCAGGTAGATTGAAAATTCCTGCGACTGATGAAGTGCTCACTGACCGCCCCCATCGTGTCCGGTCCTGGGCAGTGCGCCCTCAGCCTGGGTGACTCTTAGCATGGGCAGGTGCCCTGAATTCCTTCTGCTCACGGGCTGTGCTGATGCTGACACTCTGCGAGCCAGGAAGGCAGCTTCTCGTGCCTCTGGGGGCCTGGGTAGAGCCTCTATAACGCCCGCCATCTGAGCAGTTGCTGGTGGTGGTCCTCAGCACCCCCAGAGATGGGGGGCTCGTCTTGGCTGAGAGTGGTCAGGATCGTGTCTTAGTCAACTGGGGCTGCTGAAACAAAAATACCACAGACCTGGTAGCATATAAACAACAGGAAATTCTGTCTCACATTGTGGATCCTGGAAGTCCGAAGTTAGGGCACCAGCATGGTGAGGGCCCTCTTCTGGGTTGCAGACGGCTGCCTTCTCATCATATCTTCACATGGCAGAGAGCAGAGAGGGGAAGCAAGCTGTCTCGTGCCTCTTATGAGGCACTAATCCAGTTCATAAGGGCTCCACCCTCATGACTTCTAATCCTAATCACCTCCTGAAGGGCCCTCTTCCTAATACTGTCACATAAAGGGGGTAGAGCTGCAACATTCAGTCCATGATGTGCACAGTATGTGGTTTGGGGATCCTGACCAGAGGCAAGCTTGGCTGCATCCAGTTAGGGTGTGGACCCCTGGGATGTCACCTTGGGATGGTCTCCTCCTCTAAGAGCCAAGTGAAGGATGCTCCAAGCAGCTTGAGCTAGGAGAGGGGACCAGTGACCGAGTTTGCCTCCTGCCTCGACCTGCCTGGGAGTCGGCCAGCTTTCCTTTGCTTTCTGGGCAAGCCTTTTGTGAGCACTTGCATGTGATAATAATAGCTAGCGTTTATGGGTCGTTTACTGTGTGGCAAGTACTGTAGCAAGCCCTTGTAATTACTAAACTCATTAAACTTTGTAGCAACTCTGGGAGGTAGTTGACAGGTGAGGCACAGAGAAGTCGCATGGCTTGACCAGAGCTGCACTGAGCTGTGGGGCTGGTTTGAACCCAGGACGTCATACTCCAGCGCCCCTCCTGTTAGCCACTGGCTTCCAGTGTAGAACAGGGCTTCTCAACAGGGCAGTTTTGCCCCCAGGGAACATGTGACAAATGTCTTGGGACATTTTTGATTGTCACATCTGGGGCAGGGTGTGTGTGCTACTGGCACGTAGTGGATGGAGGCCTGGGATGCCGCTCAGCATCCTCTGGTGCCTGGGATGGCGCCCGCCTCCAGAGAGAACTCTCCAGCCCTAATGTGCACGGAGTGGTGGACAGGATCCAGAAACATCTAGGGGCGGAAGTCGCAATGTTGTCTTATTGAGGAGGGCTGGGGGTATGTCAGGGAAGGCTTCAGAGAGGAGGTGATGTCTGTAGGGTTCCAGGAGCGTGTGGGCTCCTGGCCCAGGAGGTAAGGCCGTCAGGCTGAGGGAGGTGCTGGGCCAGCTGCTCTGGCCGGCTTTCCCGTGAGGGTGGGCCGTGTCTGTCTGCAGGCTTCCTCTGCGTGGTTTGCAGGTTCCTTAAAGGCCAGGACCTCGTCCCAGTTACCTCTGTTTCTCCTTGGTGTCCTGTGTAGTTACATAAATGCTGTTGATGTGAACTGAGTGTCCTCAGGGCCTGGTCACCACGAGGCTGTCCTCCCACACCGTCTTCTGCGGCACCCACACATGTCCCTGCACAGGGACGTATTGCCCAGGGCCAGGCAGGGCCTCTGCTCAGGTGAGGGGCCTGTGAGTTCCATTTTACTTTATTGCTAACATGAGCAGGGTTTTGTAATTCTATATGTTCTGGAACGTTCCACTTCATGGGGCACGTCCAGTTAGAACACTGCTTCTCCTGCTATGTGGACGTGCCACTGCCAGAATTTATGTCGGCTGCCTGTCCTTTCCCGGTGTGCCGCTGTGGGGAGCGGGTGTCACCTTGCACAGTGCCAGCAGGGGCTGCCCACTGCTGTCCACTTTGGCCTTCAGCTCTGGATGGATGGCGGCCTGGTAGTTCAGTGCTGGTGCGGCGTGGGGCTCGTAGGCTGCCGTCCCTGTGCCTGGGCTGCACCCTCTGGCCGTCCTGACGTAATAAACATCTGAGAAGTCTCTCGCCTGAAGTCAGAGGCACTTTGCTTGATTTCGGGTGCCATTGGGTTAAAGCAGGGCGCGTCTTTGGCTGGGAAGGGCTCAGTGGGCGTCACTGATGGGGACTGTCCCCATAGCTGACCGTGACCGAACTGCAGGCGGGGTCTTGTGTGGAGGCTGACTGATGGCGGCTGCACCACGCTCTTAGGGACCCTGGAGGTGGAGCCGTGTTGCGTTTGCCGTTCACGGTAACAGGGAGACCTGGTTGTCGATCTCACTGTTTCCTCAGGGACATCACTGTCACTTTACCTTCCAAACTGTACCTGCCCATCCTGGAGTGGGGCCAGGAGTGTGCTCTGCTCGGGAGTGAGTGGGGCCTTTAGTGTCTTAATACAGTGACACTGATGATCTCTAAGATTGCAGATAAAATCAAGCACGGTTAATTCTGTGATGCGATGTGGAACTGTTCTTCCTGCTGAACGTTCTTCCTGTAGAATCGTGAAATGCAGTGGAGGTAATAGCCTTTAATGGAGGGAAAGGCGCTCTGAGCATCACCACCACTATCCTCCCCTCGCCATTCAGTCCTTTTCCCAGAGCCTTCCCTGAGTGGAGGCCAGTCCGGAGGCCTCCTGCAGGCCAGGGGCTGCCCCAGGGGAGAGCGGGAGCAGGGATGGGGAGAAAGGGAGACAGGGGAGGCGCTCTCACCTCTGCACGCACTTTTGAGGCTTTTCTGGAAGCTTAGCTGGGCCAGACTCTGCCAAGAGGCGTGGGCCACCCTGTGCCTCGCAGCCTGAAGGTTCCTGTGTGAAGCCTTTCCGTCCATATTTTTAGGATAATGAGCGCGCTCTGTGGAAAGGAGTGAGGGGAGGGGCCGGGGTGGAGAGGAATGCTCGTCCTCCCTTGCAGCCCAGCAGCAGCTGCCACGAGTGGACAGCAGCACATCTGCTCCCCTGGGTTTGTTCCCTGCCCCACTTCCTAGAGTTTATTTTTCACTCTACTTTAAATTTCAGTTTTGGGAGATGCGGTTGCTCAGTGGGGTATAGACCTTGGGGGTTTACAGCCTTTCAGTGCCTTTTGCTTGTGGGTTTCTTTTGTCCCCAGTGGCTCTTTATTGAGTGACCTGAGGGCCTTCAGCTCTTTCCTTTGGCTATCCTCAGTCCCGGGCTGCTGAGTGTAATGCACTGTCTCACTACGCCCCCATGGGTCCCCTTGGGCACGGGCCTTTCAGCCTGTCGAGGGGTCAGAGGCACCCTGGGCCGAGGCTAGGGAAGCTTGTGCTCCAGTGCCCCCTCCGCCCCACTGCAGTAGGATCTGGCCTCCTCTCCTTTCTCTGGGTGACAGTCCCTGCCCGACCTCCCTCCCAGGGCTCGGGGAGATGCAGGAGATTCAGACAGTCCTCAGTGTCCTCATGTCCCCTTCACATGTGCCTCAGTGGCTTCCTTCCGCGCTCAGGCCCGGGAGGCCCACACGGGCACCCTCCTCCCCCCTACACCAACAGCTCCTTGGGTCGTGTCACCTGGGCGGCCTGATCTCCAGGAGCCCTGTCTGCTGGCATGTCCTGAGGTGGTCTGGAGTTTTCTGGTTGTCATTGTCTTGCTTTTGTTCAGACTGTGTCTATTTTACTGATGAATAATTCTCTACCAGTTAGGCAGGTGAACTTCATAGGTGTTAGTGTCGCTCAAGAAACCAGGGTGTGTGCCACTCAGTGGTGGGAAGAAGGGATGGTTCTGATGCAGCAGCCTTCAGAAATGGAAAGTGGCTTAGCAAGTGGGAGGCCTTCTTAGTGGAGAACATAGCAGTCAGGGGAACCCAGGAGGCCGGCCTTATCCTCTGTTCTCTTTCCCTCCGCAGAAAGTGCCAGCGACCCTGTCCCTCTGCAGAGATCCCAGTCTCTCCCACACTCGGCGACAGTTGCGCTGGGTGGGACGTCTGAATCCAGTACCCTCGGCAGCTCTGCGTTAAGGGAAAGAGAGGCCTCTCGGCTGGACAAGTTCAAGCAGCTCCTTGCTGGCCCCAACACAGACCTCGGTAAGTCCCCTGCTGGTCGAGGATATGCATAGTTGTGTGTTGTTTCTAGAAGAGGTCCAGTTCTTGAAAGACTGTTATCATGTAACGCACATGCTTTGTGTGTAATTTACCTTGTAAGAGGTTGATGTGTTTGTATTGTCACGCCAGGAAGTCACTAACATGAGCGTCATGTGTCCTCAAAGTTTACTTTAGACATGTTTGCTAATGTGCTTCCAGTGCAGTTTGCTCAAGTATTTTCTCTTTTGTTTTCTTAATGCCCCAGTTGCACTCTTTCAGCTTCTTTGAGCTGCCTGGGCGAGGTGCCCTTCCTTGTTGTTCGTGGTGTTCATGGGGCGCGGCGCTGCTCACTGATGTCCCTAATCACTGCTGACTTTGTGCCTTCCCACTGGCGGCTCCGAGTCAGCCTAGAGCGTGACAGGCTGTGAGCACTGCCGGGGAGCCAAGGCAAGGCTTGGGAGGATGGGCCTGCAGGGGACAGAACAGTCGCCCGTGTGATTCTTTTGGGTCATGGTACCCGTGTGGACACTCTGCAGCCAGGCTGCTGAGGCACGTGCTGGCTTTCAAGTCCATCTGCTGGAATTCTGTTTGAATCTGCGTTCTCTGATTTCGGTATCTCACTTTGTTGACTGCCACCCTCACTGGGCATTTTGCTAGATGCTGGAGCTTTCAGCAGGATCAGATGTGGCTGTGGCCATGAGACCACTCATAATTAGGGGGCAGGTGCCAGAGTGGGGCTCTGAGGGCTGGGAGCGCTGAGGCGGGCAGTGCCCCACTCAGCCAGCAGGTGGTGTGTGAGGCCTGTGGACGGGCTGCACCCAGCAGCTCCGCGGCCCAGCCGAGGCCACACTGGGGAAGAGCTGCTGCCACCTGCCTGAGGCCCAGGGTGGCTCTGGAAGGTCTTGGAGCTCCTAAGATGCTGCTCCTATGCTGGATAGTTCTCACGGTGGGGTTTTCTTCTTAGTTTCGTGTATTTTTGCACACGCACACGTTACACAGTTACACAGCACAAAAGGGTATACAGTGAAAATGAGCCCCTCTCCCTTTCCCCATCTCCCCTTTCCTTCCTTTGCATGGTTCCAGGTGTCTTCCAGAGGTGGTCCAAGCATATATCAGGTTCAGCTGTTTATTTGATGTAATTTCAAATTTACAGAAAAGTTGCAAGAATAGTACAAGTGACTCCCATGTACTCTCTACCCAGACTCACCAGTTGTTTCCATTTTGCCCCATTTTTATTCTCTCTGTGCGTGCTTTTGTGTATACATACTTTCCCTGGACGGTTTGAGTCAGTTGGAGGTGTCGTATCCCTTTACTCCTGAAACTTCACTGTGTACTTCCTAAGAACAAAGGCATTCTCTGAGTGTAATCACAGCATCGTTGTCGAAGTCAGGAAATTTAACATTTAGGTGGTACTCTTAATCCATACGCCATAGTCACATTTTGCTGATTGTCTCAATAATGTCCTATGTTTCTCTTTTCCTAGTCCAGAATGCACTGCAGGATCACGCATTGTGTTTGGTTGTCATGTTTTTCATTTCCGTTAACCTGGAGCATACCCTGGTCTTGTGCTATGTTCCTGAATCTAGACATTTCTTTCTTTCTTTTTTTTTTTTTTTTGGTGAGGAAGATTAGCCCTGAGCTAGCATCCATTGCTAATCCTCCTCTTTTTGCTGAGGAAGATTGGCCCTGGGCTAACATCCATGGCCATCCTCCTCTACTTTATATGTGGGATGCCTGCCACAGCATGGCTTGATAAGTGGTGCGTAGGTCCACACCTGGGATCCGAACTTGTGAACCCCAGGCTGCTGAAGCAGAGCGCACGAACTTAACCACTACACCACCAGGCCGGCCCCTGGATCTAGACATTTTTGAAGAGTGTGGGCCTGTTGGTGTGGGCTGTGTCATGTTCTTCCTGAGGAGATTTGGGCCAGTCATCTTTGGCAGGAACATCACTTAAGAGATTTGTATTCTCGGTCGTCGTAACAGGAGGCCATGGTGCTGGCTTGTCCTAATGTTGATGAAGTCAGCTCTGATCACTTGGTTAAGATGGTGTCTGCCAGTTCTTCCAATGAAAAGTTACTATTTTCCCTTTGGTAATTCAGAAGCAATTTGTAGAGAGATATTTGGGGTCTATGCACTTATAGAATATATTTTCTTTCTCCACACGAATAGTAACGCTCTTCTGCGCTTCACTCTTTAAATTTAATAATGTGTTTTCCTGTAATAGTGCTAGAGAACAGCCATGGTCTGTACAGTGCTCTGTAGCATGCCAGTCTATGGGGGCCCCGTCGTTTATGTACCACTCTCCTCCTGATGGGCACTTAGGTTCTTCCTAACTTTCTGTTATTACAGAGACTTGAGAACTGTTCTTCAGACATCTGATCCTCGCCCTACACTGGTGATGTTCATAGAGCATCCCTCCGTGTGGGCGGGGGAGAGGGAGAGCTTGAGAACCCGGTGGGTGGAAGTCTCATCTACCAAGCTAGTAAGTAAAGGTAGATGGTGCGTGAAGGAGTACAGTCTTGGGCTTGAGTACGTGCCTTAGCCACTTGCTTTTCTAGCCCGCCAGCACGCCCGTGCCTTTGAGGTAGTGTAGGGAGGCCGAGTCCCATAGTGGCAGTGAGGGGAGGTTCTGGGGACGGGCTGCCTGCGTGGAGTGCCGGCTCCATTGCTTCCTTGCCACATGACCTTGAGCAAGCCTGGTAACCACTGTGTCTCAGTCTCCTTGTTCGTCCGTAGGCATAATGATAGGAGGGCTAATTTTGCAGACACTACATATAAAGTGCTTAGGAGAGTGCCCGGCACATAGGAAACACTCAAAAAAGTTAGTTATTTTTCTTCTTCTTCTTGTTTTCATGTGCATTGGCCTATTTATTCCTCTAACTTGACTTTTATAACATTGACATATATGGTCACTTTTGTGATCGTTGACAAGTCAGGGAAGTTTACAGGTATTGTCTTGGTTTTGTTCAGCAGTTTCTAATGCTAGGTGGCATGGAGATAGCTGATGAACGCAAGATTGCCCGGTGGGAAGCACAGGTCTGGGTCCAGATCTGAGCCCCCAGTTAGAATCTTCTTGTGGACTCTGCTATTGGAGTAACTTTTGGAAATTAAAACCATGCTTAAAAATAAAGCTCTCAAGACTTTGGGAGCTTGGGAAATGTGGGAAAATGTGAGTGTGTATGATAGATTAGCAGGTTAACATGTAAAAATTAAATTCTTTTGTTAGGTTGGTGGGATTATGGGTTTTTTCTTTCTTCCGACTTCTATTTAAATATCAAATCTAACACCAAAAAGCTAAAACCGAAGTTTTCAAAATTAAACAATTACTGGATTTGTATTGAGTGGCAAGAGAAAACACAGCCAGTAAATTGCCTGTTTTTATAAGGCATTGAAGATAGCTTCGGAGGAGAGTGGAATATGTTATCTTCACATTACACAAAAGACATAAGTGGCAAATATTTGCCCGTGTTGGAGAAGCAAATCACTGGTGTGAGGAGTGTCCCCAGAGCCCACTCCACCTGCTGCGTGTCGTCTCGTCCGAGGAGCCTGTTTCTCTTTGTTTAGCTTGCGCTGGTCTGAGCCTGGGGATGAAAGTAGCAAATAGAACTTAACAGCTCATTCTGCTCTTAGCATTGACTCAATATTTACTTGGACAAAGGCTGCCTGCTTTGAAGCCCAAGAAAATGACACTTGGAGGCATTCGTTTTTATCCTGAGCCCACGTCTGTGAATGGAAGTGAGATTTGGCAGTATGCAAAAGAGGCATTTCCTGAGGCCTGTGGAGTGGGGCCTTGAGGTCACACAGCGTGTGACGTGCAGCCCTGGCACTCCAGGCATTCATACGTGAGTACAGAAGGAGCCAGGCCAGGTACTTCATCAGAGTCCGGTTCCCCCGAGTGAGCACCTGATCTGGGCTTTAAGATGGAGAGTGTGGGGAGGAGAGGTTTTTTTTTTTTTTTTGGTGGTGGGGGTGATATGGAGCTGTTCAGCCTAGAAGCAAGAATTTGAGTTAGGTGCCCCCTCAGGGTCAGGGCCGGAAGAGAGCCCTGCAGGAACGTGATGGCAGGAGGAGGAGGCAGTGCAGCCTCGAGCCAGTCGTTGGTGGGACGCTGGCCGTCCTTGCTCTGCATGACTGACTCCGATCAGGCGACTCGGCTCCTGTCTCATCAGGCCTACCCTGCAGAGTCCCTGTGACCCAGGAGGTAGTTTACGTAAGGGGCCCACGTAGTTCATTCGGGTCTGCATGGAGCACCTGCTGCTGGTGCAGGCTCTGGGTAGACACGGGAACCAGACCTCCAGGGTCCTGCCCTCAAGTTGCTGATGTTCCCAGTGTGGGGAGACAGACACACATACATGCACACAGTCACCGTTCCAGAAACTCTCAGAAGGTGGTAAGTGCATGTAGGGGATAAAGGCTGGTGCTGCTTTAGAGGGAGTGGCCAGCAAGGACCCTTTGGAATAGGGTACCTTTAAGGTGAGCCTGGCACGAAGGCAGGCCTTTGAAGATTTGAAGGTGGAGAGGAGCATTGCAGGGAGAGGGGCTGGCGGTGGGCTGGGGCTGCCTGTGCTTGAGGAACGGAAAGCAGCTGCTGAGGCTAGGGCTTGGTGCGGGAGGCCAGCAGGGCAGGAAGGGACAGGTCTCGAGGGCCGACGGGCCTGGAGAAGGAGTTCAGCTTTCACTCTGAGCAGCGGGAAGCCTCTGGGAGGTTTTGAACCGGGAGAGTGAAGCTTGGCAGGAAGGTCAGAACGTGGTTGCTGTTCTGTGGCAGGAAGAGCCGCTGAGGACCTCTGGGCAGGGCGTGGCCAGTGGCCTTGGGCTGAGGCACATTCCTTGGGCAGCCCCTTGGGAATGGGAAGGGGAGGGCCTGGAGGGCCTGGAGGGACAGGGAAGAAGTTAGAGTAGTAGACTGGGGGAGGGAGCCGAGGGTCTGAGCTGGGGTGCTCCGTTCCCTAGGTGCTGCAGGGCAGGCCGGGTGCGCCCCGCGCCTGATTGGAGATGAA